CCATAACCAAAAACATAGCATTGCACATTGACTTCTCCAAGTCATTTCATCCACTCTCAACTTAGGCAAACCATTGCATTAGCTTCCTAGGACCTCAAAGAAGCTAACCCGATCATCACCATCACTTGAAACAAGCTCAAACTCTAAACACGATTTCCAGTTTTGAGGTAAGTTTTCTTAACTTAGAACTCTTTATACATGCATCATCAATAGTTTATTTGTGAACAAAACATGTAGATATCATTGTCCTGAAGCTAACAATGTCCATAGTTTCCATTAATTTTGCTTGAGCTTAGAGAATTTTGAAATTGAAATTTCTGAAATTTTTAGGGTTCAGATTAGGGCCATTAAAATTCTTGCTTATCTTTGATCTATAGTTTTTATACTTTACATTTCTTTACATTTTGCATCCTTGTACATTTATTCATTGTCATACTTTGTATTTATTTAATTTCTTGTATATTCATACCAATTCAATATGGTTGTAATAGACTAATTAGGTTTAAATTCTTGCAATCCCCATTTATAAATTGTATACCCCCCCACAAATGTTGTAATAGCGTAGTAACTTTAAATTTCGCAATTTATCGCTTTTATATAACATGTTAGTAATTAGGGTTTGTATGGAAAGCATAAAACCAATGATTAGAAAAACCCTAATTCGAGACAAAATTAAACATGAAAACAATACACTTGCACACAAGCACCCCTAGGGTTATTCCAGTTGGTTGTCTTATACAAATTGACCATATTACGCATGTAGGGTATCTTAGCAAAAATAAGCAAATACAAGATCATAGTCCATCGATGACGCTATCTAAGTTGCCTTACAAATGATCTTAGTCCCTCAAAAAATGCTAAGATACCTTGCAACTTTGCTAATCATGGTTATACGATGACCCACGCCCGTCCCGTTTATATCCAAAGATAGGGTTGCTTACCAAATCAATGGTAAGACAACAATGTCAAAGGAAAAGAAAATGAACAAGAAAGACATTTGAGTAGGTAGATTGCTTCATTTCAAAACAAACATTCTTGCTATTTTTCAAAACAAACACACACACTTTCAAACATCTTACAAACATTGAAAACATTTTCAAAAGATTAACATCTTTGTATACATTCTTACAAACAAGAATCATTACAAAGATTGCCTAAACAATGACCTCTTTACAAAATACTTTCAAAAACCACACAAAGCACAATTTCAAACAAAAAGCAAGTGATCTAGCAAGTAACTAAGATCCCATGGAAAATCATGGATGAAAAGGGTGCTAATACCTTCCCTTTTCATAATCTACCCCCGAACTCAAGAGATAATCTCAAAGGTCTTTCCTGTGCTTTTTCACCTTTCCTTTTGGATAAAAGAAAAGTCGGTGGCGACTCTTGCTAACCGCAACATTTACAATCAAACGCAAAACCTTCAAGTCAGTTCTCCCACCGTATCACACCTATAAACCCTCAAGTTTTTCCACTTCGACGTATGTATCAAAGGAAGCATACACATCGGTACAACCTTTGACATCCAACTGAAGATCTACAATCAAATAGTTAAAATTAAAAAGGTCCAAAATAGAAGGGGTGATGTGAAATAATGGCATCCTAAATCAATATAAGTAACCTCAAACTGATACAGTTGTTGTTTATCATGGAATCTCTGGTATCAACATTTGCACCAGATAAGTAACCTCAAACTGATATAGTATCACTGACTAATTATTCTTATTTGTATGTGTACAACAACCAAACATTTGAGTTTCATTTCTTTTGATGCTGAACCAGTTTTGCGGCTGATTTCGCCACATGAGATAACATATCTAAAACCAAAAGAGCTCATTTCACAAAGCAGCTGCTATTGACTATAGCATTATTTACAGCCACAACTGCTCTTCCAGTAACAATTACCACAGTTATAGTTGTCTTCCATGTAACCGCTGTAGCAGATTGAAGATGTAACCTAGCATTAGCAGCGACAACAATAAATTCTTCTTCATCTTGCTTTTCTTTTCTAACAGCAACTGCAACAATGTAAGCTTTTCTTGCTTCTTCCATTTTCTGCCATTCCATCTCATCCATATCATCCTATCAAACTAGAGATGTATAACTCTAAAGGCCAACATCCATGGATTAGTTATTTCTTCACAATTCTAGTGTTGTGATGGAATTGTCACCATATATAGAAATGTGTGCAGATATACATGGGTATATAGATTGAAAAAATGTTAAAAAACTCACAATTTCTAGCACATGATTGAAAATATAAGGCTTGGTGTCATAATCACCCGTGCACATTGCAGTGTCAGTATCTACTAAGCTTTCGAGCAGCAATGTAAATGTCGAAACATCTACTTGCATATAGTCCAAATCTTCTTGAAGTTTCTCCACTTTCTTGTTGGATGTCATCATTTCCCAATTTATTTTTTCAAGGGCAGCTTGTTTATCTGTTGAAAACGATGCCGGTAAATAAATACATAAGAAGATAAGATTTACACCTACCTAAACTGAGTATTATAGAATCAATTCAACGATAATCAGAAGCCATGCATGTCATGTAGCAAGTGAAAAGGTTTAAATATATAACTAAAACAGTACCTTAGCATTAGAGAGAAATGAAAATAATGAATACCAATATACCATCAAACAAACCTTGTCTGCAAAATGGAAGATCGAAATATTTGTATGTCTCGATGTGGCATAAAAAAAAAGGAAAACACAATGTATTAGTAATCAATTAAGAAGAATTTCATGACAGTGCATTAAAAATGAATGCCTACATTACAATATTTAATGCAAAGTTAATAATTTCAACATGCATTGTGTACTGCATTAAAACTCTAGTTCTTATTCTCAAACAGCAAAAATGTTTTTGCCAAAATAAATCTCTTTATTACAATTATTCGCTTTCTTAATCCAGAAAAGTTCAAACACTCGCATCAAACGAAGGAAATCTAGACATGCACAAATAAGGAATCTTGTCATTAAGTTAATAGAATATGTTTAGCTCTATTTGTATCTCCCTCACTAATGTAAAGATTAAATTTGAACAACAAATCACAAGAAACATAGGACAGTTGATTAAATTACATAATATAGTGATACACATGAACATCAAACAAAAAAAAATTTACCACCTCAGATGGAGTAGCAGTGCAATGGAAAATTCTTGTAATCCCACACTGTATATCAGGTGCCCGACCCAGGTTTTCAAAACCAATGAAAGTATGTATGCTAACTCAGGCTTCACAATCGTTACATCAGGATCTTCCTCAAAACATCCAAGATTCTTCATGCCATTACAAGTTCCTATGGACTCCGCGATTTCCGATACAGGTATAAGACAGACAGAAATTATGGTTTGATCACTCAGTGGGTGTGTTATCTGAATGCACATGAGCAATAATTAAAGAAAGCTACTAACTTATTAACCAAATGGAAACCGTTTCAAATTGCCCTGCATCAAAAACACTATCAACATCAGTTTGTCAAGCCTCAACTTGTTATGCATGCTATGCTACATAATCACCAGTTTTATCACTTGCAGCATATATAACATTAATTGCATCAGTTCATACCTCATTGTCAGATTCACATACCAAAACAATCAGTTCTATAGCATGACATAAACTAATGCCACTGGTTCAAGCATTCAAGCGCATCATCATACAAAATCAGTTCATATGCACCTGGTGCAGCAACACAAACAACAGAAAATCAGAAAACTCCAGCTTAACGAAATCACCAATTCAATAACAAAATCATCCAACTCAATTCAAGAATTATGTTGTAGTTTCAGTTCAGCCATACCTTTCCACAAGCGTTCAAAATCGTGTCCAACCTTAATCATGTAGTCTTCACCCATGAATGTATGGTAATTTATTTTCCAGGAGCAAACTACAAAACCAGTATCATAATTTATGAAGTATATAAAACACATCACTAACACAACCTACAAAATTACATAGAAAATGACTATGATTAGTTATTATTACAGAAAAACACGACATTAACGGAAATCATCTAGCAAGCTGTAAAAAACCGTAAAACTAAATACAGCAATCAGATGTATCATCAAGGAAAGCAACATCTCAATTATTAGTTGGTATTAGATCATATCCGACTTCAATTATTTACTCACCAGCTTAAACAAACCTATTCAATCACTAGTTCAGTAGGCAGGGCTTATTTATGTTTATCCAATCCTGTGTTATCTCGGCAAGCTTAAGCAAAAAGAAAAGAAGTATTGTCAATAGAATTACTACTCCTCAGTTTGTTACAAATTATTAAGGATACAACTATGCAAGTTTATGAGCTTACCAACCCGTAGTTTTTCCGTCAATTTCTAAATCATTAAGAAATATATCAGTTGTCGGCAAAGTTAAACTTTCAAGAGTTTGATATAAGTTGCAACTTAAAAGAAAAAGTGTAACTTTCTAACAAACAAATAAATTGTAAGTCTAAAAAGTATATGTTGTAAATAAATTGAAAACATTTCCAAGTAAAAGATATAGATTACACGTTTTCATATGATTTCTTCCCGCGCATCAAACTTGCATTTTTGGCCATAGGCATTGTACCCTTCTCACCAACACATCTGCAAAATACCAAAACGAAAAATCAATTCCAAATACACAACAACATACAGATACATTCATGCTCATGCATAATACATCATCACACGTTTTTAACATTCATACCTCCAATTCACAACCATCACTCACAAACCCCCAGATCTGCAGCACATCAACTCGCCCTCCCCTTCAACTAACTGCAAGAAACTGCAACTCTCGACCAAACCACTCACAATTTTGTTCTCATAACACATACATCCACAACAACAAACCATTTCTTTCATGCTGCTACCAAAAAACACTACTTGCTAAGAGCAACAAACAACCCAGAATCCAATTATCATCTCCAACTCTTCATCACATGCTGCTACCACTTCTCAACCTTTTCAAGTATTTCTTTTTTACAGTTGTTGTTCTTGTAAACAACGGATGTCACATTAGCATGCATCGACACCATCTTGATGCAGCATATACCTTCTTATTATCTTCAATGTAAGATCTAAGAAGGTAACAATCATACTTCTCTTTATCTTTGTGAAATACTAAAAGATCAATCATATCTTTATCAATAGCAGCACCACAAGAGGGATCAGGACATCTCACCATCAAACATCTTGGACCGTCATTGAGAGATCGTCGAAACATTTTTTGAAACCATGATTTCAATAACCGCTGATGAATATGGAAAGAGTGGAAGTGGAAGTGGATGAATGATTTGGGAAAATAATGGCAGAATAATTTCAATTTTGTAACCGCCATTCAGTTGTGGAAAATTGGAAGTGGCACTACTGTTGTGGAAAACAAATACGAAGCAGATTCGGGAAAACATGAGAAAACAAACTTTCTGAGTTGTGAGCGAGCCACATGTTGTGATTTTGGAGCAAAAGAATAAAATTGAGTTTTTGAGTAGATATAATTTTCTTATATTATAGATAACATGATGAGTTAATTGCGTTGGACATTAAATCTCTCTAAAGGTTCAAATATTGGTTTTAAAAGAAACGTCTTTCTTGAAAGAGAAGAGAAGAATAACCAAACTCCAAGAATTCAAAGCAGTATGTAAATTGTTGCCTTCTTTTATATTATTTTTTTGCGTATTCTTGTGTTTTATGTGTACAAAGAAAAGAAATCATGCATGATAATATTGATTATGTGCTACGTTGATTTAGATGGAAAAGAGATGTCATACCATGGATGAATGTCTTCATCATGCCAGCTTGATCGACATTGTATTCTCTTGGACTCTCGACGATCTTCTTGATCAAAATATTTTCAAATACCAGGTTGTTTTTTCACTTTTCACTACTCTTATAAGTTTAGAGTTCTCCATGCCCTAGTAAAAGTAACTTGGAATGCTGTTAAACTTTGCACAGGTACAAAAGGTTCCAAAAACATTCTCTTCAATAAATGATTACATAAATTCGTTCTTTCCTACATTGATTGAGGAAACACATGGGGATTTGTCTTCAAGCTTCACTATTACGGAAAAGACATTTGATAACGGTTGGGAAAGATAAATAACCATGTGGGACCAAACATTGTTATGTAGCGTATAATTGTATATTCGGTACTTACAATCACGGTCCAATGACCGTCGTAGTAAATTAGAAAGTGCGCGTTTTATAATAACGGTTATTCCTATTAATCATTGTGATATTTCATATGAATAAATGTCAAATTTTCATACCATAATCAACACTAAACCAATTTTGAATTGATATCAAAACTTGTATTACAAGTACACAATTCCATTAAGTACATCAAAATTTGAACAGTTCGAGGTATGAAATCTTCTCAACTTTCAAGAGAAAAAATAGAGTATAGAATTAAAGAAACAATGATGAGTTTGGTTTTTAAACTTCCAAGAGAAGAAGATGAAGAATCAGAAGGAACAATATAAAAGCAGAAGAACCAAAACACAAAAACTACTTCATCCAAAGAAATCAACATGTGTTATCGTGCTCAAGCTACCAATAATGTTGAGAATCAAAATATTGCTGTGTAGGGTGTTGTGGTGCAAAATCAGCCTTAGAATCAAGATCTAGTTGTATATGGTGTTGTGGTGCAAAATCAACCTCAGAATCAAGATGTAGTTGTAGAGAGTGTTTTGATGCAAAACCATCATCAAATTCAAGATGTTGCTGGAGAGGGTGTTGCATTTAAACTAGCGAGAGCTCTCAGGGTGAGGAGAAGAAGAAGAAGAAGGTTAAGAAGGAAAATGATGATTTTTTTTCAATTCTGATGATGATGAGGATGACTATGATTGGTGTAACTGTATCTCAGCGAGAGGATTTAAATTTGATTCTGGTTTTTGATCATGTAATGAAAGTCTTATGTAATGAAGTTTTAATCTGCTTAACTCTCTTAAGGTTATCAACTTAAACATTCAACTTAACCTATCAGCTTAAACTATAAAATAAATAAAACACATAAAGAAAATTATTGCGATGAACTTACTAGTAAGAAATCGTCTAATAATTGCATATTCATGTCAAGTTCACTACATCTTCAACTATTACATTTTATAACAAAGTAAATATTAAACACATAGGATATAAGAAAACATGACATTTTCAAATTTCAAACCCTAATTCAACTATTATATTTTATTACAAAGTAAATATTAAATATAAAGGAGATAAGAAAACATAGCATCTTCAAATTTTCAGAAAATCTCCCTGACTTCAAATTCTTATTCTTCTTTTTTGAATCTGTATACATAACCTTCAAATACCCAACCGATTCCAACTCTGACATCATACTACTCTCATCTTCCAATTTTTATTCATCATCCCATATGAATAAATTACATATTTCACTACTCCACTAATATGGACATCTCCAAAAAAGTCTTCCTTTATTTTGACCCCTCTTGCATTGGTACGAAACCATACGACTGTCACAACCACAAAAATTTCAAGATTGAGATTTTACACCTTTGGATGAGTTACTCTTCAAATGCGATATTGAGACGAAACTGGACAACAACAATGAGTGTTAGGGTTGTTTTCTTCTTCCCGACGATATCGACGATGTTGGTGTTAGGGTTGTTTCTTTTATAAGTGGAAGAATGAGTACTTAGTGTTTAGTATATATAAAGAATCGTCAATGTGTAACAATAGTTGTACAAAAGAGCCATAATGATATCCCTATTATTTTTTAATTATATATAAATATAATTGAAAATGCGTGCATTAGCGTAGAATGGATAAACTATTTGAGGGAACTGAGGATCAAACCCAGAAAAGTTGGACTCTATCACCACAGTTATGAAATTAACTATGATTATAACCTTAAATTTTCAATTAAAAAAAAAGTTAGCGCATTAGTTTAGCAGTGCCACTACGGTTTTGGGGCGAATCATAGTGACTTTGGCGTTATTGTTTGCGCGTTTTGTAATAGTGCTTGTTGAGTGTTCCACAAACTTCTTTTTACGAAATTAGGACAATGAAAACATCCTAGGAATTCAAAATATGAATCTGAGGCTGGTGATCTCATAGCATTCACAAATACTCTGCCGTGGATGACTTGAGCACGATCAAAAGATACTGTCTTATGGCTTATGTTTGTGGATCAAAAGATGAATTTACTCATGATATTTCTATACCATTGTCCAAGGAGATGCATAATAACTTTGATTTAGGGAGGAACAAAACTCAGAAACTCTATGATGTTTATCTCGTAAACATGATCACAAATGTTCGTATTTGGAAAGCCTTGAACTTGGAAATGGAAGGATCCATCGTGAATATAATTAAAGAAGTGTTGCAGCCTTATTCAAGGGTAAGAATCACCAAATTATTTATTCATCATATGTTTTTTTAAGCTTCCTTCAGGTCTTATAGTCAAAGTTTTTGATTGCACGTGCAACGTGATTCTTATTCTTTATATCGCAGAAAATTGCAATCAAATTCAGTTGATGTGGCCTCATGGTTTTTGTTATTTTTTCGACTCAAATTGTGGCTGCATCAACAATCAACTGTATTTTTCACAACTGTATCATTACTGCAACCTCTATTTAATACCTTGCTAACATGACTAATTCTTGTTCTTTGATTTCATTAATTCATTATATGTTATAGATGGTACAAAACTATCATACTTGCCTATCAGGAATGAATTTCGGTTGATCCTACTCCCGAGTAAAAAGCCTAATAGAAGCTCAGAATCTAAACAAATCTCAGGAAGATGCTGTTGCTAGCTGTCTTCATATGAATAATTGTCACTCGAGCACGGTTCATATGGTCTTGGTGACGTAGTTCTCTTTGGAAATAATAAAAGAATGAAAATAGATTCTTATAAAGGTCTTAAAGAAGTGTTTTTGGATAATAGAGTGGATGAATTGTTATACTGTTTTTTGCCAGAGACCGGATGGAAAAATAGTTTGGAATCAATGATCAAGTTACTCAAGGATCCTGAAGCGCAATATGCTTTATATAAGAATAGGGTGAATGCAGATGTTGTGTTATCATTAGAAGAGTTTGTATCAGGAAATTATATTCATGTGAAAGATTCATATTTTTCATACAAGAAACGGTGCCAGTATCGTTGTCCTATGACCATGGAGGAGTTTGTGAAGAAGAAATATAGTTATATTGTAGACCAATATGATATTTATAAAGATGATGAAAAGCTAGGCGTTGGTTTGAGTATGGAACAATTTTTAAGACAAACATTTTGTTTCTGTGGAAAGAAGTTAAAGTCATTCTTGGAAACTTTGTCTACTCATTTACCTACATGTTTGCTTCCAATTAAGGTGGTTGATCTTGCGGTTGATCAGAACCTTGAAAGTGGTTGGAGGATGATCTTCAGTCGGGCAGAGGAAAGAGGGGGTTATACCTGCAGGGTACTCCAACGATCAAGTAAGAGTGAGAGCAAGAATGTACTAGCAAAATATTGGGTAGTGAGTGTGAATATGTGATACTTGATCCTCACAGGTGTGAGGGTTTATATACTTCCCCTGGCGCGTGGTCATTGGTTCCTGATTTCCCGTCTAAATACGCGGGTCTGGAAAATCAGGTACTTCCAAGACTTGGTCAAACCGGGCAGATGTGCCTGTAACTAGCCGTTGATTCTGGGAAGGAGGCTGATTACGGGTATCTCTCTGGTCGGTCACTGGTGGTCTACACGACACTGGAGTCGGGCAGACTGAGAGGATGCTCGACGGACATCTTGGATAGGAGCCGGATCAAGAGGGCAAGAGGATGGTATTTCCCGACAGGTGCGGGCAGTTCTGGTCACGGTCGGTGGGTGACACCCAAGAGATGCCTTAGACTGGGCCCACTCAAGCTTTTGGGCCAGTCCAGAACAGTAGCCCCCATGTCGTTGCTTCTGGGCACAGGAGTGAAGACTTTGATGTCCGCTCGGAGGACGGGGAAATGAGCATTTGCCTGTTTTACTTCTTTGTCGGGGAGGCGGAACGTTTGCCGTTGGGGCCATTCAATTTGGAGAGGTAGCGTGTTTTGGGAAACGTGTCGATCAAGCGACGCAAATAATGGCCTAGGGCTAGAGTGTCATGATGACGACCCTGGGGTTCCCAAGGCGCGTGTTTTGTACGCGCAGACTATTTCAGCTATAAATACGAGAGGAACAGGATGATTAGTATTTTTCGCTTTCTCTTTCAACTGCTCGTATTAGCTCAGTGGTCGACCACCAACATTTGCTCAGTTTCTTCATTCGCGGTCATCCAGCTTCGTCTCTTCTTCTTCTCTCGGTGAGTTTCCGTTTCTCCATTGTTTCATGTTTTAGCGCTTTCGTTTTTTGCTTCTTAGATATCCACGCGGTTAGGATTTAAGGTTCCGTTAGGGAGGAGATCATTAGAGACCATAGGCGACGTACGTCGTTCTTGCGGCGCATGGCTGTCGGAGCCGCCGTGGAGCTCTCTCAGGGGCCTATAGCTGTGCTATAGATGATTCATTTAGGGTTTGAGTTTTTTCTGCAACATGTGCCCGTTAGAGTACCTTAGTGGACTTATGGGCTTTTTTCTGTGTTTTGTGCCTAGAAACGCACCTCAGTGAGGGTTCTGGTCGGGGATATAATCATCGTCTCCCAGCGCCCTTTCACATATTTAGCGGTGGAAGGGTGGTTCTGGCATTGATGTCGAGCTCACCCTTTTCCTCTGCTTTTCAGGTGCTATGGCTGACGATGCACATGTTGTCATTTCGAGCGAATCTACAGAAACCTCCAGGAGCTCTTCGAGCGGGATTAGTGGCAGCTCGTCGAGCATATTAGAAATCTCTAGGGAGCAGCAAAACCTGATGGATCAACAGACGGTGGAGCCCGACATGGGGGCAACCTCTTCGGCTCGGGGCGGCCTGTTTCCTCCTCGAGATGACAAGGATCCTCGAGATTGGGTAGCTAAGGATCCTTGGGAGTGGCAGTCATATTTTTATGAGCACAAGGAAGATGTTTTCACCGACGTTTACGTCCACGAGGAGGGAGCCCGGGAGGAGTGGTCGTTGTATATCCCCGGGAAATACAACATGATTTGCTCAAGATACGACAAGAGGCTGATTCC